GATTGTATATAACCTTTTGCTATGGGATAGCAATATGATTTCAACTTGGATACCTAATGAATTTTATACCAAATAAAAGCCCGTCAAAAGCTGGATCTATGACTATAATTAGCAATTCAATAGATAGAGATGACTGTTTCAACTTTTAGATGTACAAAACTGAACATAACTTCTTGCGAAAGAAGTACAGCATTAAGTACAAATGTCACAGTTACAGTTGATATATCAAGTGAAACCTTTATTAGATCTGAATAGAAATAATACATCAGTACTTAGTGTGGCCGCCATTGGTTTCACGTACAGCTCTTAATCGGTGATGATACGATTTCAGTAAATTTTCGAAAAGTTCTCTTTCGTTTTCAAGTTCATGAAGAACGTTGCGAAAATGTTTAGGCAAAACAATTGGAGAATTCCGATTGGAACCGCGCTCGCTAGTCATCAGACTTTCTACTTTGTCCATCAAAATTTATCTAACATTTTCCGCTACATTAAGACCCGGAGGGCTTCCCAGCCATTTTGTTCGATCAAAGAAATCAATTTCCGAGTCTTTGAGCAATTGCTGAGTGGCATTTTCTTTGTGGTACGGAGCATTGTCATGAAGATAAACGACTTCTGCTGGATCTAATACCTTTTCAGAATTAGAAAGAAATGGAATCACCTTTTCTGTTAAAGTACGTTGCCGATAATAAGCTTCATCCCATGATGCACCATTATCTTTGATGACCCAGATCAATTTGATGGCAGTAAAACAGATGAAAACTCCAATGCAATTCGGTTTTGCACAAACGTCTTGATAATGCTCATTGCTTTCGACATCTTCCAGAGAAAGCGACTACACTCTGTCGTTTTGATAGTTCGGTCGATGAACAGTCCAAATGCAGAATTCATCAGCTGGAGCAAGGTGCACGAAATCATGTTCACTCCAATGACGCAAATAATCGCAAAACCATACGCGATTTTCTATGTTTGTTGCTGACTTCATTGGCTTTGGAACCACATGAAAAGCCTTTAGCCCATGTTTGACACGGTATCGTTGAATAGTTGATGGGCTAAAGACCTCTCTGCGCTTCTCGAAGATCTCCTTCGCAACTCGTTTGCAACTTCTGTCTTTTTCCACTGTTTTCCATCACAATTCATTTGCTTTCTTCAGACAATTTTCCCGATCTTCCATCGCCAAACTTCGGAAAGCACTGTTCGTATCCTTTTTTCCAGTTCTCCGTAACCTATCTTTCACTACGATGCAGTTTTTGAGCGATCAACTTTCGATTGATAAACGTTGCAACTTCTTCTATTGCTTCTCAATAGGTGTTTGCTCGAATGTGATCAATTACACATTTTTCTTCATCATCTCCAACGAGTCCAGCCATTTTATTAAACGATGATTATGTAAAATCTTAAACAGTAATGGGAAAATCAATAATAAAAGTTGAAATAAAGAAGAGTAAAATAAAAGGAAAAGCCCAACATACACGTGACACATGCGGTAGAAAGAGAGGATGCTTTTATGAAAAAAAGAACAAGAAGAAGAACAAAAGCAACAATAGAAAAAAAAACAGAATGATAGAAAATAGTGCGTACCTATACGTCTGAAATGTGAATCGACCATCCTTATGTATTGAATTGCTAACTATAGTCCTAGATCCAGTTTTTGACGGGCTTTCATTTGGTACAAAATTCAGTAGGTATCCACATTGAAATCATATTGCTACCCCCGCCTAGCAAAAGGTTATGCACAACCCTGTATACAAGTATTAGCTATTATCTATATGTGTTATTGGGATCAAGATTTCATCAAATATCAAGCAAGACATAAAGGAATGTATGGAATGTTTGTTTAATATTTATTGAATAAAATCATATAAATTAATTAATATTAATCCTTTTTAGATATATCGATGATATACTCATGGTAACTAATTAAACAACAGTTGAAATTCAAAAAGAACTCGAAAAAGCCACGAATCAAGATCTTAACACTAAAATTAACTATGAAATCAATGCTTCAGTAAATTTTCTCGATGTCACAGTTACAAATGAAAATGGACAATTGAAAACATCTATTTATCATAAACCAACGACTGAACCATATATATTACCATATGCATCCGATCATCCACGACATATTCATCGTAATATACCATATGCTGCGTTAATGAATGCAGCTCGTCTTTGTTCTAAGGTACATGATTTTAATTCTGAACAACTACACATTGATATGTCATTGTTATTAAATGATTATCCACCGAAATTTATAAAGAAACAATTTCATCGATTTTTCGAATGCAATGATACTATGTCGGTATGGCGAGGATTAGATGAACCTGTATATCATCGATTACACCAACGGTTATTGTATCAACCAACAAGACGAGAAAAGCTACTTAAAAATATGTTACAAGACCCGATTCGATCACCGACAGCATTGCAAACGAAAATATGGGACAAAGACATCATGTTTCCACGTTATTAATTCTATAGTGCGACGTCTAACACTTTCCAGAAACTGTTTTATGAAAGATGGCACAAATATTATGCATTCAATGGCTCGCCATAACAACATGTTAAAGTGGGACTAGTACCATATACAGATTGTACACGCGAAACATTCTTCATATACAATAAGCCAAAAAATAAAATCCTTAGCCGTATGGAAAGCAAGACTATGATTATCGACAAATCTACATATCCAAATGGATGACCGCTTTCAGAGTGATAGACACTTTTTCCACAAATTCAAAAAACAACTATTGTAACTACGATTCATGATTATAGAAACGAACATTCGTACCCATAATATATGAAATTAAAAAAATTTACATACATTTATTATAGACATAATCTCATATTTCAAACACACTGCTTTTGTTTGTACTATTTTAGATCATCAAACCGCTAACCACCAACATAGCCGCCAACCATATAGATTCTTCCAACAATAAACCAAATACGACTTAACGAAAATACCTATTATGTCAAAGCTGCAATTCAAAATAAACAATCCGAATAAAGCTACGCTAGGGTTAGGCATGCACCGAGCCCGAACTTTCCGGGTTCGGTCATACCCCGGTTCGACTATTCCCGGTACCCAAAACACTAGATTTAGTCATTCATGTATTTTGGTCTGTATTAGGCATCGATAGAAGCTGGCTATGGCCGAACCCGGGAATGTCTGAACTCCGGAAAGTTCGGGCTCGGTATTCCTGGTGTGCTCTTGGCTTCTCCAACTGTCTAGCAATGACCCAAATAAATAAATAACTAAATCTAGCAGTTCAGGTACCGAAAATGACCGAATCCGGGAATACCGAGCCCGGAATTTCCGGTCTGTGCCCGGGTTCGGTGCATGCCTAGTTAGGATACTTCTAAAATACACGGTAAAGATATAATACACCTGAATATTTTACTCTTCATCTTCTTCTCATTTAATTTCCTAATAATACTAAATGGTTTCCACAATTGC